GGCCACGAACCGTGTGAGGGGTGCGCCCCAATGCGGGGCCGCCATGCGGACCCTGCCACTGGGGCCTTCGGTGGAGCTCCCTATGGGGCCACGAACCGTGTGAGGGGCGGGCCAAAATGCGGGGCCGCCATGCGGACCCTGCCACTGGGGCCTTCGGTGGAGCTCCCTATGGGGCCACCGTGTGAGGGGTGCGCCAAAATGCGCCGTGACCCTGCCACTGGGGCCTTCGGTGGAGCTCCCTATGGGGCCACGAACCGTGTGAGGGGTGCGCCAAAATGCGGGGCCGCCATGCGGACCCTGCCACTGGGGCCTTCGGTGGAGCTCCCTATGGGGCCACGAACCGTGTGAGGGGTGCGCCCCAATGCGGGGCCGCCATGCGGACCCTGCCACTGGGGCCTTCGGTGGAGCTCCCTATGGGGCCACGAACCGTGTGAGGGGCGGGCCAAAATGCGGGGCCGCCATGCGGACCCTGCCACTGGGGCCTTCGGTGGAGCTCCCTATGGGGCCACGAACCGTGTGAGGGGTGCGCCAAAATGCGGGGCCGCCATGCGGACCCTGCCACTGGGGCCTTCGGTGGAGCTCCCTATGGGGCCACGAACCGTGTGAGGGGTGCGCCAAAATGCGGGGCCGCCATGCGGACCCTGCCACTGGGGCCTTCGGTGGAGCTCCCTATGGGGCCACGAACCGTGTGAGGGGTGCGCCCCAATGCGGGGCCGCCATGCGGACCCTGCCACTGGGGCCTTCGGTGGAGCTCCCTATGGGGCCACGGACCGCGCGAGGGATGTGCCGAAACAGAGACATGCGGAGGGCAGAGGCAAGGGGGAGGGAGGAGGAGGGAGGGGGCAGCGGGAGGAAGGAGGAGGAACGCGGGGCACCGTCTCTTCAAAACGAGGACCCAACACCACAGGATGGTTGGGAACAAAAGCCAGAACGGCAAACATGTAAAAGCCCCCCGGGAAAAGCTTCGTTTCACCACGCGCGGTCCTAACGATTAAGCAATCACTCTCTCCGCCGACTGCCCTTGACGTCGCGCCGTGGGCGCGGGGGTGCGGAACTCGGGAGCACAAAGGATGCTCGGATATTGTTCGTGAGGCAAACCCAGCACGACAAACTGCCCCTCGGGGAAACGGGTCGAGAGACCTCGGGAGCCCGCGGACGCAGTATACCCGATCGTCGAATGTCAACAACCGAACTGTACTGTCGGTCCTCGTCCCCATTCTTCCCGTCCCAATGATATCCCTCCCGTTCCCCAGAACTTCAACGTCTTGACAAAAAAACACACGCATCTTTCGTTTAGGCGAAATCAAGTCGGAATATGTTCACTGCATTCGACGTGCTGGGGGCCTCCCAGCACCAGGGCCACAGGATGCCATCCGGGCAAAAGAGCTAATCCACGCGGATGGGGTCCATAGATCTGGGGGCCGCCTATTCAAAGGAAATCACGACGATGGAGCTCTTGGTATGCTGCCTCCTCCCTTCTACGTTACCACTGTCCTCACTCTCTGCCCGCTCCTCCGTTGCATCCCTTCCCTCGCTTCTGGCCAGAGCAGCCTTGCGAATGCAGCCGCTGGGCAAGACGGTAGCATGATCGGTGCGTTCTGATCGCGTCTGAAGGCCGTCGCGAAACTCGAACGAACAAGAAGAACATAAAGCAGTTCCCTGCCGTTCAAGAGCACGGCGTCAGAAAAAATGCGAGGGCAATTCCTTGACTCGGCCTCTGAAGGTCGTCTCGCGGCTCTCGGGTCATCAAAACGCATGAAGAGCTGTCCCCTGGAGGGATCTAGATCCCTCGGGGCCCGCTTCACGCACAAGCGGAGACGTCGGAGGGGAGGGTCGCATGCGCGCCGAGTCTTTCCTCCCAGCCAGACTCCGCTCAGAGTCGACGCCTCGGGGACCTCGACGCCTCGGGCATTTTCGAAGGAAAGCGCGACGCCACTTCAAACATAAAAAATTCGTCGATCCTGTCGGAGCTTGAGAGGTGGAGTCCTGGGGTGGTCGTCGCGGGGCGGTTTCCCTCCCGCCCGTGGCCACCTGGATCTTTCATGCTCGCCAACCGACCCAGATTTAGGTCGGGCGCGTCCCCCCACATGCAGATCTTGAAGGAAACCATATTCAAAACTTGTCAAAAAATGCTAGGAAAACCGTCCCCGACTATTGTTGGACTGTTTTTGGATATTCCTCCTGTAGGGGGACATGCCAGAGGTAAGCCCAAATCACAATCCAGTCGAAAGGGGGGCCCCTTCCGTGGCTCCCTTCCGCGCCAGGGGGCGGCTGCCGGGAAGGGGCCCAGCCCCCCCCCCCCTCCCTGGAGTGGCTCGGGCAGTCTCGGGGCCAGCTCGGCCATCTTTGGGCCACCTGCAGCAAGCGCCTACGATCAGAGATGCTGCTGCAAGAAATCTGGGGGCACATCCTTCGTCGACTCTGAGCTTCGTTGGTGGCCCCGGGGCTCTGCAGGCCCGTCGGGCGAGAAGGAAGCCCTTGGGAAGGCCAGCTCCTTACTTGTTAGATACCTCCCGGGCCAGACCTCGGATCCTTTGGGCTTCAGCTTCTACCAAGCAGGAACGACATCAATCACCGAGCAGTTTGATGTACATGCCGAGGCCTTACCGAACAGCGAAGCAGCCGACGCGCCACATGCACGGCAATCGCCAGCCGACGCGTCGAATACACGCCGACCAGGAAAGCGCAGAAAGCGCAGGCAGAGTGGAGGTACCAACTACACCATCCCAACCACACATCGGCTCGCTTATTGCGTGCCAGCGAAACGGTAATAGACCAAGAGAACCTCGTAATCATGGTTGTCAGGATGGTTTTGACGATTGTCATGGTGAAGCACATTGTGGCCAAAGCCTGATTCGGGTGACCTCCGAATTATTCGACTTGATCAAGGGTGCTCACGGGCATCCATACCCACTTGCTCAAATCCAATATCTGCTGGGCCCCACCGACCGACGTCCGATGTCCCCTGGGCGCCTTGTTTAAATTCAAAGCACCCCTGCAATTGAAATTATCGATTGACACTTTGTGTTTAAATCGTCGATCCCCCTCATGTTTTTTAAGCGGCTTCGCATCCTCGCTTGTTCAAGCTTCCGTCGGCTCAACACGGCCCAAGAGGCCTCCCAGATGGCCTCACGACGGCCCAAGGGAGCCTCAAGACAGCGCAAGAGGTCTCCAAGATGGCCTTCAAGCAGCTCCAGACGGCCCCTGGATAGCCCTTTGAGCTCGAGAGTGACCCAAGACGGCCTCAGGGGACCCCTGGACGGCCCAGACGGCCCCATGATGACCCAGAGAGACTCCCACGACGGCCACGAAGGCCCGAAGAGAGCCCAAGCCCAAAAGAGACTAGAGGGTCCCAAAGGAATCCCAAGACGGCTTCTCCAGAGCTCGGGACAGGCCACCCACGTACGCCAAGTAAGCGAAACGACAGATGTCACATCTGGCGGCGTTCCTCCCCTTCGAAATGTCACGCATGACAGGCACCCGTACCCTCTCGAAGGGTCGCCACCCAACGTGCTGGGCTGGCACGTTGGCGGGACTTGCCGCAAGCAGCTGGATGAATGGACATACTGGGCGCCACAACTCGGAGAAAGGTGCATGCGCGTCCCAGGGAGACTCCAGGAGTCACGTCACAAGCTGTCCGCCGCCAGGCGTATGGCGCGATCGCAGATTCAGCTTCGAAACAGCTATCATCGACTGACACATGTCCAAGGCATGGTTTTTCGAAGCACCCCTGTAGAAAATTGCTGCGAACTCGGGTGGCCGCGAACGTTACGCCTGCATCATGGACTGTGGAATAATCGAGCCGATCTACGTAGGCAAGTTGGGCTGGTTCCGCGCGACACCGTATCATCGGTTCAATGCGTGTCTTATGTGATGCGTGTTCGTGCGCGCGGTCGGCGTCCCCGATGTGTTGCTTGCGTTCTTCAAGTTTACTCCCAGCGCAGTTTTGCGGCGAATCAACAGGAGCGTAACCTCCATACTATAACAAGATAATAGCGCATCGAAACATCTGAGAGTACTCAACGAAACTGGCGCTCTCCACGAGTTCGGGGGAGACCGCGCTTGCAATGGACTGCCCACATGCACGCCCGTGCGATCGGTGTCGCAGGAGACGGCCCAGACCGCCCGCACATCTTACAACAAACCTCTCAAGAGAGTTGGGACTCAGCTGCCAAATGATACTGAAACTCTGTAGTGTGATCGTGTTGTGTGTCTCCCCTCTCTCCCCCCCTCTCCCCCTCGCCCAATCTCTCCCTCCCTCCTGCCCGCCCCCCTCCTGCACTCGAGCATTGCGGATCCCCCCCCCACCGCGCCCCACCCCTCGCGCGCGCTGCCCTGCGCACAGAGCCTGCCAGTGGTCGAGCCCGGAGGCGCAACAGCAGCTCCCAGACATGTGCATGCAGCTTCCTTCGCCGATGCGCCGTCCAGGCGCGGCCGTTGAGCGAGTGAGTGAATGAACAATCCCCGAACCAAGAATCAGTCACAGTGCCCCCGAAGGACGCCTTACTGCCGTCTGGCACCCTCGAGCCACGTATTGTCGTGCTGACGGGGGCCACGAAGGGTGGAGCATGTAGAAGCATCCCCATTCGAAACGAAAAGCAGGCCCGCGTATACCACTCCTTCTCCTGCTCTTCCTGCTCCTCGTGCCTCGTTCAGGCCGAACAAGCCGACGGCCTGGCCAATCCAGAAGCCCACCGCCTCCGCTTCGGGCAGGCAGGGGCCATCGATGAGGGAACGATGGAGAGGAGGTCGGGAAGAGGAGAGGGAGGGATCAACATCGACCTCAAACCGTCGATGCATCACTAATGGCCCCCCGATGGCAGAGCAGCACGTCCCTGAAAACAGTGGGGCGCTCACGCCCTCGACGATGAACAGGCGATGTGGTGGTCGACGATTTCTCCCTGAGCCAGTCCCCCCCCCCCCGCTTCGTCACCCCAAGATAGAGACGGGAAAGAGGAACCATTTCGACCCTTCACCCAAGGCCCGAGGACACACTTGTTCAACGCAGCCCGTGATCTGGTTGCCACGGGTTTCGAAATCGGCCCCAGGACGCCGAAGTTGCGATATGGCCTCCGTCGTGATTCTGTATTCGCGACACCCTGATGTCAAGGACAAACGATACCGCTACTCCCCAGCCGTAGCGAAGAGGGTTCACGCGGAGAGATCCAAAAGGCGAAGACGCAGGAAAAGCATGTGGGGATATCTCGGAAGAAAGACGGGCCGTCCTTGGCGCTACTACATGTTCCAACCGTCCTGTGTTGTCGGGCCCTCGTTTTGAAGCAGACAGCGCCCCGCGTCCCACCTCACCTACCCCAGTTCCCCCCCACCCTCCTCCCATCCCTGCCTCTGCCCTCCGCATGCACATGTCGGCACACCGCTCACACGCTTCGCGGGCCCAAACGGGGGCCCCACCGAAGGTCCAAATGGCAGCGCCCGCATGGCGGCGCCGCCCCCGTTCGGCGCGCCCCTTCGCGCGCTTCGCAGCCCCATGGAGACATTCACCAGAGGTCCAGGCGGCAGCGGCCGCAGGGCGGCGGACAGGTGGTGGCGCGGGCGTCTCCCGGTCATGCGCGCCCACTGCGCCCCTCGGGACAAGCCTGTGGAGTTTCCAAAAGTACCCGGGGTGCCATAGAGGGCATTACGAGGAGACGCCTGTGCCGCCACGCGCGACCAATCCCACCAGCCCTTTGGGCGTGAGTGGTTTAGGGAGCTCTCTCTGTTCTCAACCCCCATTCTTCCCCTTCGGGGAGGGGTTTACCCCTCCCCCTACCCCCTCCCCCTGGACCTGGAGCGGGGGTTTCGCGGGTCGTTGGAGGGGTCTTTTTGGACTCCTGGGAGGGCTAAAAAACGACACCCCTCACGAGGATTCTGGCCCCGACGGGGGGAGGCAGAAAAATGCTCCCCTCTTCTTTGAAGCCAAAATCATTGATTTTACTACGGTTTTGGCCCCATTTTGGCCTTCTGAGGGGGCAGCGCTAATTAAAGCTCCCCTCTTCTTTCAAGCCAGAATCATTGATTTTACTAAGGTTTTGGCCTCATTTTGGCCTTCTGAGGGGGCAGCGCTAATTAAAGCTCCCCTCTTCTTTGATCGATTTCCTCCAAGATGGCCCCAAGAAGCGCCCAGGAGGCACCAAGAGGCCCCAAGATGGCCCCAAGAGGCCCCCAGGAGGCCCCCAAGAGGACCCCAAACGGCCCAAAGAGGTCCCCCCGAGGCACCCAAGACGCCGAAAAGCCCATCAGGACGACCCTCTACTCGCCTGGGCGTCGTTTCTGGACGGGCAGGAGGAGGGGCCCGAACGACTCACACCAGGACGAGGGGCCCGAACAACTCACACCACGAGAAGCCCGAACGACTCACACCAGGACGAAGAGCCCGAACGACTCACACCACGAAGAGCCCGAACGACTCACACCAGGAAGAAGGGCCCGAACGACTCACACCAGGACGAGAAGCCCGAACGACTCAAACCACGAGGAGCGCTTTCTCTCCCTCCTCCTCCGCCTCGTCCTTCTCCCGCTCCCACCACAAGGAGGATGTACAAGGAGGCGGGAGGAAGCAGGAACAGGGGAGATATGCGGAGGCAGGCGGAAACACGCCTGAAAAACACGACTGTCGGCATGCTTCGCTAGAGTTGCTGTTTTGAGATGGGCTGGTGGGGATACGCGAAGCGTGAAGAATTTCGAGGAACTCCTCCGCAGCCTGCGGGCTGATGACGCTAGAGTTCCTCGACACCCCGCACTTTGGAATAGGGTCGGGAGACGGACGTCGTCTCGAGAGACCTCTGCGCAGCCTAGAAACTGACCGCGCAGGAATTTCTCAAAATTCGCTGCGGGAGGTGGGGGAAGCGCGGGCTTGAAGGGAAACGCTGAGTGCGCAATCGACAATGATGAACACATACTTGCGGCGGCACCCGAGCAGAATTCGAGAAACTTCTGCGTCGTCTAGAAACTGACCACGAATCAGTTTCTCAAAATTCGCAGCGGGAGGGAGGAGGGGGCGCGGGCCTGGAGGAAAACACAACATGTGCAAACGAAGGAATATGAAGAAACACTTGCGGCAACATCCGCGCCGATTGCCGAGAAACGCCTGCACAATCTACACACTAAACGGCAGGAGATTATCTGAATTCGCTGCGGAAAGGGGGGGGCGCGGGCCTGGAATGGAATGCTGAGTGCGCTGTAGAAGGGACCATGGGGACATACGTGCGGCGGCACCCACGCCGAGTTTAGAGAAACTCCTGCACCGCATAGACACTGACGGCGCAAAGGTTTCTAGAAATTGGCCAGGGGGTCCGCGAGCCTGGAGGGGAATAGTAAGTGCACGGGCGAAGAATTCAGAGGGGCACTTCAATTGAAAAATACAATGTGCACCAGAGGGGAATCAACAATAGTTATTCTTCAATAGTGACAGTTCAAAAACAAACCAACAAACAAACAAATTAACAATCAATCGCACAAACCCAAACAAACATCAAGCAAGCAAACAAACAAACACACACACACACACACAAACAAACAAACACACAAACGAACAAACAAACAAACAACAGGACAGACAGACAGACAGACAGACCAGGGACAGTGAATGAACATTCGGCCCCTTCACTCTGACAAGCACGCATTTTCGCGAAACGCCTCCGCCACCACCCACCTGGCGGCGCCGCCCCATCGTGGCACGCCCCTTCGCACGCTTCATAGCCCCATAGGGAGCTACACCGAAGGTCCAAGCTGCAGCGCCCGCATGGCAGCGCCGCCCCATTCTGACGCACCCCGAGGACGTCTGGTAGTCCAGTAGGGGGCTCCACCGACAGACCGCCGCGCTGCAGCACCCGCATGGCGGCGCCGCTTCAATTTTGGCACACCACTCACACGTTCCGTGGCCCCGTAGTGTTGTGGATGCCATGACAATGAACACTCTACCAACCCGATCCTTGAAGTAAACATGTTTTTAAAATGTGCAGAACATGTTCTAAACATGTTTCAAACATGCCTTTAAAATTTTAAACACGTTTGAAACATTGTTTGGCATCTGGAAACTACGTGGCAACATGCTTCCTCTCCACTGATCGTCCTCCACAACCGTAGTGAGCTCCACCAACGGCCCCAGTGGCAGCGCCCGCATGCCGGCGCCGCTCCATTTTGGCACACCCCTCGAATCTTTCGTGGGCCCAAACGGGAGCCCCACCGAAGGCAACAGCGGCAGCGCCAGCATGGCGGCGCCGCCCCATTGTGGCACACCCCTCGCACGTTTCGTGGCCCCGTGGGGAGGTCCACCAAAGACCCAAGTGGCAGCGCTGGCCGGGCGGCGCCCCGCCTTTTTCGATCGCCCCCCACACCTTTGGTGGCCCCAGGGGAGCTCCCACTTCTTCCCCCGTGCCCTGCGGCGTTAACAGCTGCATATGGTTGGGTCCTTCGTCAGCACGGCTTTTTCAGCTGGGCCACGGGTCGTGAGACGAGGGCGTGACAAAATGGGCGATCGGGCAGAGACAGCGCAGCATCTCTGCAGAACTGCTGGGTCTGGAGCGTGTATGGCCCAGGGGACAGGTCCTGGACCCCTCAGTCGCTCTGGAACGCTGGGCTGCACGATCAACAGGGCGGCACTTTGCATTTTGGAAATGGAGGTAGAAGATGAATGGGAAAGGAGGGGGACGACAACGGCGGTAAAGGCACTGGTTCCAAAAATGTGACCAGCACTATAGCCAAGGCGACATTCCGAAGAAGCAGAGCACAGATCCTGAAATGCTGCCAAATCTCCAGCAGGAGCACCACACAGAAAGACCGAGGACACTCGGTCAAGCAGAGGAGTAGCAGGAAGATGATGAGGGGCAAGGCGGACGAAGAGAAGGGAGATAGGGGAGGGGAAGAGCACGATGACAACGGGAGGATGAGGTTGAGGATGATGAAGCGGATGATGAAGGGGTTTAGTATGATGAGTATGATGAGCACTTACCTGCTGACGCTCCCAGACTGGCACCTGTGTGGCAGGCCTCTGGACACTCACTGGTCAGCACGCGGGAGCAGCCATGTGCAGGAGTCGGCTACACGCGAGTGGCCGTAGGCAACACTAACCTTTGGTGCGCGGCCTTTGGGGGGCCGCGGGAGGGCCCAACACGCAAGCGCGCAGGACGCCACTGCCGCCTCGCGTTCGGCGATCGGGGGACCCCAGTGGGCCCGCACTTGAGGTCAATCTGGCGAAGGGTCCCTCCTGCGTGTGGTCGAAGGAGACAGTTTTTTCCGAATCGGCGATAACCCGGGTTATCCCGGGGGGGGGAGGGGAGGGAGCTGGCCGATAACCTAACCCTCGCGCTGTGGGCAACCCTGCATATGCCCGCGCCCCCCCTCCCGCGGACCTGCACAACCGGCAAGGTTAGGTTATCCTGGTGGTGGGGGGGAGGGGAGGCAAGCCCGATAACCCGGGTTATCGCCCGACCCTAAAAAAATAGTCTCTAGTCGAAGGAGGCCCAGGACCAAGAAGAGGGAGCAGAAGCCCGCCCTCCGCAGGCGCGGCCGCCGCCGCTCGAGCCCAGACCTGGCCTGCAGGCATCGCCCGCGCGCGGCCCGCGCCCTGCGCTCGGCCTCCGCGCGCTGCCGGGAACGGGCGCCGCCTGCGCCCAGGGCCTGACCCGCGTGCCCTCGACAGCAGCGCGGGCCTCCTGGAGGGCCCCAAAGTCAGCGCCCAAGAGACCCTCCTCCTCCTCCTCCTCCTTCTCCTCCTCCTCCTCCTCCTCCTCCTCCTGCTCCTCCTCCTCCTCCTCCTCCTCCTCCTCCTCCTCCTCCTCCTCCTGCTCCTCCTGAGCGGAGCCCAAGACGGCCCAACGGAGCGTCCCAGCCGTCCCACTGAGGGGCCCAAGGTGGCCCCAGAGGCCTCCGAGACGGCCCCCGACCTTCTGCCCGCGTCTGGGCGCTCGGCCTCTGCCGCTCCCTCGGGGGGGCAACCTCCACGCGCTCGGGCCGCGCCTGGCGCTCGGCCTCCGCTGCCTGCTCGAGGGCAAGCCGGGGTGGCCGAACACGCGGCGGGCTCGGGGTGCGGCAGTTTGGCCCCGCGCCCGGCGCGCGGCCGCGGCGAGGTGCCGTGTCTCCGCCAGGCGCTCGGCCTCCCTTCGCGCGGCCTGTTGGCGTCCAGTCATCGCGCTACCATACGAGCGCCGGATAGGGAACGAAGGGGCTCCTCTGGCCACGGCAAGCCCCGGCCACGAACAGGTCCACCGACCTAGACCTTTAAGGAACAGCCGAAAGCTGAAGCCCCGCCTGAAAACAGAGCGGTCCTTCCGGTGCAGCGCCATGAATGCAGCCCCTCCTGAAACCAGAGCGGTCCTTCCAGTGCAGCGCCATGAATGCAGTCCGACCTGCGGCTGCGCCCCCTTCGCGGCGGGCCGCGGCACGCCGCCCCAGCGCGCGCCTTGGCCTTCCCTGGCGGCGCCGCCTCGCGTGGGCAAGGCACGCCGCGGCCGCGCCAGATGGGGGCGGCGGGAGCGCGCACGGCGCGGTGCTGATCGGGACGAATCCCGAGGCGCACACGGGGACCCCTCCTTCTTCTCCTCCTCCTCCTCCTCCTCCTCCTCCTCCTCCTCCTCCTCCTCCTCCTCCTCCTCCTCCTCCCTCCTCCTCTCCTCCTCCTCCTCCTCCTCCTCCTCCTCCTCCTCCTCCCTCCTCCTCCTCCGCCTCCTCCTCCTCCTCATCCTCCTCCTCCCCCCTCCTCCTCTCCCCTCCTCATCCTCCTCCTCCTCCTCCGCCTCCTCCTCCCCTTATCGTGGAATCACCGCAGGCGTCAACGCCAAAACGGGCTTCGTACTTGTCTCTCGACCCCGGTGGACGCGGGCGCCCGAGGGGGGCGGACAGGCGCTGTGCTCACTGCCGCCCGGGAGTTGGGTCCCGCGCCCCTCTTTCGGGCTGGCGGCTTAATCCCTCTGTCCATCCATCCCTGTTCCGTGTAAGTAATTCCTCCCTGTCGCACCCCCAGACGCGTCGGTAGAGCGGGCCTGGCGTTTCGCCAGTGACTTCCTCACCATGTATAATCCTGACGCTTGATGTTTGCAACAGCTTCAGGGATCGAGGGCGGGCCGTTTGCAACATGTGGCTTTCGCCATAAAGCCGTGCGCATTTATTCTGAATGCTGCAACTCTTGCACGGGTGGAGGGCGGGTTGATGTCCAAATGTGGTTCTGGCCTTAGCGCCGAGCGCATTCGCTTTAGAAGTTCGCAACCCTTTCACGGATGAAGGGCGGGCTGTTTTCAACATGTGGTCCCCGCCGAAGCGCGACGCGCATTCGTCTGAAAACCACGCAGCTGTTTCACGGATTAGGGGCGGCTCTTTTTCAAAACTTGGTTATCGCCGTAGCGCCGCATTCATTCGTTTCGAGAGTTTGCAACAGTTCCAGAGTTTCGCACGGCCGAAGTCGCTGGAACGGCGTTCTGGCAAAAACTAGGATTGTCAGAACGTTCGCGGTGTTGAAATCCTAAGAATTGTCTTTTGTCACGACGTCGGATAGCCAGGAAACAACAGCAACGTCGATTCGCATCGCCGAAATCCAAGTGCGGAGCACGGTAATACATGCTTGTGGGGCCCTGCGAAGCGAGATTTACTGCAACACCGCGGATGCGTCGAAGGTCTGCAATGGTCTTCCTCCTCCTCCTGTTCCTCCTCCTCTCCCTCCTCTTCCTCGACGCAGGTGGTGGGCGCGGCCGTGCCGCCTCGGCCGCCCGCTTCGGGCCTTGGACGAAGGCGTACGCGGCACCCGCGGACGCCTAAAGGAAGGGGGGGGGGCAACCGGCGGGGGAGGGCAGGGCGGGAAAGGGGGAGGTCAGGAGGGAGGAAGGGGGGGCAAGAGGACGGAGAAGGAGGAGGGGGGGAGGAGGAGGACTGGGAGGAGGAGAGAGCAGGCAGAGGACGGATAAGGATGAGAGTGAGGAGGAGGGACATCGATATTCCTCGTGCCTCCACTGGAAGCCAAAGGGGTCTCTGGGGTCCGATAAGATCTTGATGGTGTGACCGTCCTCGCGGTCTGCTCGCGATCGTTGCCGGGGCGAAGCGCATATGAGGCACTGTCAGTCTCACCTGGGCTCAGGGTGCCTAGAACGGTTGGAGCAGAAATGCTCGTAGGACCACGCGTACACTCGAAGATGCACATCGCAGTTCCAAACACACAAGTGTGTATTAACTGAACTCTAGATTGAAGGGGCCCAAGGACACACAAATAAATACACACAAATAACAGGAGTCCCCATAGTTTCCAATATGTTCTGGGTTTTTGGCTTCCCCCCCAACTTCCCATATTTCCCCATATTTTCCGGAGGATCGTCGATTAATTGTGTCTGTGTGGTTTCCCCGCCTGATAAAATGCATGCTGGACCCTGCGCGCTGGTTCGCCGCACAACAGCAGACCCTGCCTCAGTAGATCCAACCAGTCGAATCTCGGATATCAGAGCTTCCTGCCACTTCCAGTCACGGCAAGTGGAAAGAAGGTGGGCCCCAGGTGCGCTCCAAGCGCAGGTCCAGGTCATTTCGGGCCCTCGTATCTGTCATCCCTGCTCCCCCCTTTCGTGCCAGGCCATCTAGGTTTGGAGAGCCTCCTCTTGGCCTCTGATCGCCTCTACTTCTCCTTTGCCCACTCCGGGGTGTACTGGTCCTTCCGCACCTGCAGACACGCCCTGCAATTGACCTTCTCCTTGTACTGTTTGCTGCCCTGCGTCGTCACTCGGGTTGGTGCTCGCACGTATCTGGGTCCTGAATCGTCTGCTCACCCGTGCTCTTGACCGTCTGCTTGTCGTAGGTGTGGGACTTGACGCCAGTGGCCTTGCCGCCGTAGTAATGGTTATTGTGAGCTGACGTTCCTCGTACTGGTGTTGTTAACTCAAAGCTGGCAGGAGACTGTGGGCTTGCCACGCGTTTCGTTTTGCCTTTGCTTGTCGCTGGGGTGATGATCTCGTCATCCGCACGTTTGCACAGCCATCCTCCCGCGTTCCCCTTGGCGTCGTAGGCCGCTGCCGAATCAATCAGCATGGCTTACCTTCTCCTTGAGGTGACGACGTCGCGCATGGTCTGTCGATTGTTCTTCGTGCTTGACTGACAGGCGAACTCGTGGTCCACACTCACGCTGGTCCACTGCCATACGGCACATTGCAAATTCCGCCATAGCTGCAGCCGCTACAGCAGCCTGCAGTTTCACGATCACGAGTTTCGCGTCGACGCTGTCCGCCAGCATGTAGCCCTCTTCCTAGCAGTCGTCGTCATGGTTCTCAGCCGCGCGCTTCGCCTGCAACGTCAGCGCCTGCTCATCGATGTCCTCGGCTTTGGGGTCGTTCGTGTGCAGTCGCTTGTCACTACCACTAGCAAGGACATGTCCCTGCATGAGATCGTCGCGCCACTGGATGAGCGCCTCATTCGTGGGAGAGTAATCCGTGGATGGTCACCGGTAGCCCCCGCCGTCGCTGGGTCGCCCCAAGACAGTGCCAGTCGACCATGCCTTCGATCGCGTGGTCACAGGTGTGCGCCGCCGTCTGAACGACCATAGTACATCACTCTAGGTACCACTTAAGTCCAACTTTGGCCATCTTAGCTCTACATCGCACGTCGCCTAACGGCTTGTTGTAATACCTGTAGTCCTCCGTGCCGTACTGCTGCTGCGCCGGTCTGACACGCTTGGGATGCTTCGCCCTGTAGTGCTCGCCGCGCAAGCCCTTCAGCTGGCACCTCAAATCGGCAACTGTGTGGTCAATCCACGGGTTTTTGATGAATATGTAGCAGCCCGTCTGCAGAACATAGCGAATCTAGTCAGCCGACCGAGCGTCGCTCTTGTTCAGACAGTCGGCCAACATATGCCCGGCATCTACCCACTTACTGGCCATATTCGACTCTTCTATGTCATTGCGGAGCGCCTGGATGACGTTAGTAGCCTGCGTTCGCTTGGAATCGTGCCACGTTTCTGGTGCAGGTCGCAGAGATGTGTGCAATCCGCCACGTGTATCATGTTGATATTCGCTGGGTCGTCTGCGTGAGTTCGGTAGTCATGCTTGCACTGCACGCCCGCAAGATGTGACCGAAGCAAGTCTCCACTCTCGACTCTGCCCTAGTCTCTGCCCTCAGGGTGCTACAAACAAATCGTTCGATACAATACGATGGGATATCCGCATCATCGGCGTGAGCTTCGCCCGGCCGCCTCCGCCTCTCGTGGACTTGTAGTTCCCGTTGTCGGCAAAAATGATGTTGAGCCCGGCCTGGCTAGTCGTCTTGTTCTTGCCAATGTTCGCTACGATCGAATCGGCGAGCGCGACCACTGCCGCGCGTGACAGGTCGATGTTCTGGAACATGACATCCACCAGGTGCGTCTTCGCATCTGTGATTCTGTTGCTGATCTCGGTGATGTCCTGCACGGTGCTGCCTTGGTCACGAGCTCAGGTCTGGCTCAACCTCCTGAAACGCGAGGTTCATCCGCGTCGGCCTGACTAGCCACTGCACTTGCCCGCTGACTCGACGCTTCCCTTGGCCCTCCTCCGCCGTGATCTTGCTGTCCTTCTGCTTGCATCGCGTCGCGCTCAACGATATGCGCTCGATGCTCTCCGTACTCCGTCTGGGTGCACGAGGTGCGGCCCTGTCAGTCCGCTTGAAGTACCTCCCGCAACGATGGAAGCCCTGCTCGATGCCATGCCAGTTGCCGTAGCAACGCATCTTCCTCAACGCTGCGACCTGTTCCCTGAAGACAGGTCGTCATTCACGCGTGCGCCGATGAGCTCGACCACCCTGCCAGACTCGCCCCTGAAGATGAGGAGTGCTGGGCATATATATATATATATATATATATATATGTATATATATATAGGATAGCAGTGCTGCCGGTAGTGATATAGTCGCATCGCGATGCTCCTCGTGTCATAGCAGCAGTGCATCACTAAGTTCGTGGATGCCCTTCTTGGCCTGCCAATTCGTGCCTTCAGGAATGCAGGCCATCTCAGCTCGGGTACCGCAGGCAATCCAGTCTTGCGTTCCTTGAATAAACGCGCATCGCGCGGAGCACGCGCGTGCCGAAGATGGGGGTCGAGACCCTCGGGAGGCCCCCCCCCCCTCTCGGCTGCACGCGAGAGTGACACTGAGCAAGAGTGCCCTTCGGGGCTCAGCTTTTGGGTCGCCAGGGGGGCCAAAATCAAGCGCGCAGGCCGATGCTATCGCATCGCGTTCAGCGGTCGGGGGACGCCACACCAAATGTCTCTCAGGCGAAGGGTCACTTTTCGTGTAGCCGAACGCCACCCCCCCTGGACTGAAACCATCACAACGTCAAAGTAAAGGACCGTCTCGAAACGTTGCACGCACGGACGGGTCTGTGTTTGAAGACGCGGTAAATGGTGTGAGAATGAGCAACTACTGTGAGCCCTCCCTTTCGTGTATGCTTGAGGTTACCAGTCCGACAAATTCGGCGCGTGCCGCATCACCGCTACTGTTCGCCCAGTCTCCACGAAAACGCGAACAATCCTTCGCGTGCTTAGAGACTCATTGCAATGTCTGTACCTCTCCAGGGTGCAGGCACTAGAAGTACGTCTGTGCGCGCAGGAATAAGTTCTCGATGTCGGCGTTGGTGACAAAGGAGAGAGCCGGAAACACTAGGGGTTCAGGCCACTTGGGGGCCCAAGGGCCCCAGATCTTGGCGAGATCGCCCCGTTCCTCCGAAACGCCGACCGCAGCATTCCAACTTTGAGTACGGTATCAGGAACTTTTGCTTAGCGTGTCGAGGCGGCGGCCCCTGCGACACGCCATGCCCTGCGAGTGGATAGCGTGTCGATCCGCTCCGCGGGGCGGGGGGCCAGGAAAGGCTCGGGGTGGTGACGCTCGGGAACTGGGGCGCGGATAGCGCGTCGCGCCGAAGTGCCTGCGGGCCTGCCTCCGCCTTCCTCCTTCCTCCTTCTGTCTCCTGGCCTTCTCCTTCCTCCTCTCTCCTCTTGCCCGCCTCCACTCCCGCGCCTCCCTCCTCCTCCTCCTCCTCCTCCTCCTCCTCCTCCACCTCCTCCACCTCCTCCACCTCCTCCTCCTCCTCCACCTCCTCCACCTCCTCCTCCTCCTCCTCCCCCTCCTCCCCCTCCTCCCCCACTCCCTCTCCTACAGCGACCGAGACTTCGGCCAGCGACCACGCGGGGCACGCGCCAAGGGCCAGCCAGGCTCGGCCGCGAGAGGGCCGAGCGCAGGAGGGGCGCTTGGCCACGTGCCGCCCGCGCCTGCGCCCAGGCACCGCGGGGGCGGGGAGACTCACATCGAGGGGGGCGGAAGGGGGAGGAGAGGACAGGGTGAATTTGAAGGGGCCCTGGGACACATAAATACACACAAATAACAGGATTCCCCCTATTTTCCCATAGGTTCTGGGTCTTCGTCTTCCCCCCGACTGCCAGTATTTTCCAATATTTTTCTGGGGATCGACGATTATTCGTGACTGTGTGATTTTTTCCCTCCTGAAAATTAGAAAGCAACTGCTGGGAGGTCTTCGTCGGAAAGATTCAAAAGAATTGAGCCACATTGGGGGGCTGGTTCGCCGGATGAGGCCGCGGAGAGAGCGGGATTAAGAGCGGGATGAAGCCGGATTGAAAGGAATTCAGCCGGATCAGCAGGACTGCGCCGGATTGAACGGGATTTGGGACCAAGGCAAAATCAGAATTTGACTCCCCAGGAGTTGCATCCGAAGGTAGGTCGGGTCGAGAATCACCTCGCGTAGCTGGTTTTCCTGGCGCCTCCAGGCGCTGGGAGGCGCCCATGTAGCGAGGGATGGGCCAAGCGGTGGGGCCGAAACCAGCTGCATGCAGCAGATTTCGCACCTCCCCGCTTTCCCTATCCTACCCTTCCGGCAAGCCCGCTCACAGGAGGTACGGCAGGTTCGTGTCGTGACGACCTCGGCGGTGGCTTCCGACACCGAGTGGATCGTTCAACATTCAGCGGTCGGCGGCTCTTCGATCGCCAGATCGTTCCATTTTGGCCGATTCCGGGTCGCCGGCGGAGTTCAGCGTCGAACGCTCGCGGCGAGGCACACGGGCCCAGCCAGAGGGCGCCCCCACAGACCCCCAGGCGCGGCGCCCAGGTACGCACCCGTGGTTGGGTGCCGCTAGTGCAGCGGCAGGCGATCCCCTGCAGGGCCTCCTCGTGCGCTTGGCAGGGCTGCGCTCGGACGCGGACGGCAGCTCCCATGGGCAGTCGGCCTGGAGCCGCCTGGCCCCGCGCGACACATAGGCCCCGCAGAGCCGACACATCACAAACCCAAACCTGGCAACCAACTGATGGCCGCGTTCGAGAATCACGTCATCACCATCATCTTCATCGTCATCATCATCATCATCATCATCATCATCATCAACATCATCATCATCATCATCATCATCATCATCATCATCATCATCATCATCATCATCATCATCATCATCATCATCATTATCATCATCATCATCATCACCATCATCAGCATCATCATCATCATCATCAGCATAACCATCATGATAATCATCATCGGCAGCGGCATGAGAATAATCATCATCATCGTCCACCTTTTCCTCATCATCATCAGCATTACCGGCATCACCATCATCATCATCATCATCACCACCATCATCATCATCATCATCATCATCATCATCATCATCATCATCATCATCATCATCATCATCATCATCGTCCTCCTCATCATTCTCATGATTGCATCATCAGCATCCTCATCCTCATCGTCATCGTCATCCTCATCATCATCATCATCCTGACCCGCGGCAGTCAGCTAAACCTCGGCCAGGAACTCACGAGACCCACCCTCCGCCCTCCGCCCCCCCCCCGAAGGCGGCAGCAGGCACGACGCTAGAAGCCGCTGCCGCCTTCGCACGACACGAACTTGTTGTGCGCACCCGAGCCAGCATAGACTGCAAAAATTTTGAAGTCGACCCTCCATGGTCGAAGGAAAAGTGTCTCCTTTGGTCCGTTTGGGGAGTCTCGTGGTCTTCCTCGTGGCCTGGATGGCTCCCGTCAGGAGCGGCAAGGTCGGCGCGTGTCCTCGGTGGTGTGGGGGGTGCCGCCGGGCACGGAGGCCTCCGGAGGCCCCTGGTCGGGCCTCTGGAGGCCTCCGGAGGCGGCCAGGATCCAGGGAGGGGGCAGCACGAGCATGCGCGCGGGCATTGAATGCTCGACGTCGGCGCTGCTCGCGGGAGCAAGGGGCATTGCCCCTCACTGGCCCCAGATCGAGGCGAAAGCAGCGCCCGCACAATTCCGATCTTGGTCTCAGAGACGGGAATTTAAGCCAGCGCCCTCGCAGAGGCTGCGCAGCCTCACGGAGGCGGGGGGCTCGTTTCTCCCCGGGCGGGGGGCGCAAGCACGATCGCTACGTATCACCGCTCGTAAAGCATCGCCTTGAAGGCACGGCCATCCCTGGCGGTGGCAAGATTCGGAGGACGAGGACGACGACGACGACGACGACGACGACGACGACAAGAGCGTAGACAGGGGAAACGAAGGACAGGGCGACAGAGGAGAGGACCCCGTGGCAGGGGCGGCGGGTCCTTCTTCACACCGCTGGCAATGTCCCCCGCCATCGAGCATCCCTCCTCGGCGCAGGCGCGGGCCCTTTGTCACAAGTGTGCGCCACGGAGAAAGAAACACGCTGGTCCGAGAATCCCTCGCCCTCTTCACTCCTCACTCCTCCCTGCAACATTCCCGCCCCTTCTCGTCCTGATGTTCCTCCTCCCTCCTGCTCCCCTGCTCCTCACCCCCTCTCATCCTCGTCCTCCTTCTCCCTCTCCCTCTGCTGCTATTCGTCCTGATCATCCTCTTCGCAGGAGTTGGGACGGAGGCAGGGAGGAAGAGAGGGGCAGAACGTGGAGAAAAAGGATGGTACGGAGGAAACGCAGAAGTAGGTGATGAAGGAATACGGTGAGGGGAAGGAGAGGGAGCGCATTAACGGGGAGGAGGGCAATGACAATGAGTAGTTAGTGATGGGCTAGACGTGGAGGAAGGAGGTGAGGTGAAGCATGAGAAGATGGAAGAAGGGAGGAGCAGAAGGAAGATAAAGATAAGTAGGAGAAGGGATGATCGGGGAGAGGAGGAGGTGGACGAGGAGGAGGAGGAGGAGAGAAGAAATGGTAATGAGGAGGACGAAGCGGAGAAGTGAAGGGAACGGGCGAGGAGGGACAAGGAACAACAGCCTAGGTTAGGGAAAGGGAAAATAGGGTCATGAGAAAGGAAAAAGACCAAGCGGAGGCTGAACCTAGACAAGCGATGCAGCACTGGCGGAGGGACGAGTACCATAAGAGAGGGGAGGAGCACGAGAACATGATGATAACGAGAAAGATGGAGAAGAGGAAGCTGCTTGGAGCAAAAGCCCACAAAGGTGGGTCCCCGAACTCTGGCCTTGCAGAACTTTATACTGCGAAGGGTCAAAAAGAAAATCAAACACGTAGACAGAAACAATCCGCTTACATGGTCGGCCCGGCCATTGTTCAGCGTATTACCTCCTCCGGTTGCCGCGCTTCGCAACAGGAAGATGATGTGGGCAAGTCCAGTGGGTTATGCCATCCACCCGCGACTGCTGTGCCTGGCACGTGTACACCCTATCCCAGGCTCCCCTCCCAATACTTCCATCCACGCTCTCGCACTCCCCTTCCGACACCTGCCCTCCGAGATGCTCCTTTTCTTCCTGTTATCCCTCCTTCCCTTCCTCTTCCCCGTGCTCCTCTCTCCGCAAGGGCTCATCCGATGGAGGCCCTCCACCTCTGGCGTCCACGTGTGCAAGCTATTGAATACCCGTGGTGCGTCCTGGAATGGGTTCGGGAAAATCATGATGAGAGTGCGGTATAAGTATGATGCTCTCCTGACTGGAGCCAAGAGAGCATTGCTGCGGGCGCGCGAATGCTCACTCGACCTGACTGTAGAAGCGGTGTCCGGTTCGATCGACAAGAGGCTGCAAAGCATATTCCATCCGAATGGTCGAATCAATCATGCTGCATAAACATCTGGCCGTTCCACTGCCGCGCTGTCACCATGAAGATGCTCGAGGAAACCAGCGGCGTTTGCAACCACGGCTACTTTGCCAGTGCTCACCAGACCCTCGATTTACAACACCATCGCTGTCCAGAGACGCGCACACGCCTCAATCCTCAAGTCCCTCTTTCTGGTGATAACTCCCCCTGTCGCACCACCAGACGTGATCGTAGATTGGGCAGGTCTTTTCACTTGAGAAAACAACTCCAACTGTTTCAAACTTTAGGGCCAGCGATGTTCAAAATGCTGCTCTCGCCTACACGGCGCCGCCCAAACTCATTTTAGACGCTTCCAGCAATCACAAGGCTGGAGGCCAACTCACTTTCGACATGCGATTCTCAACTCGGCGGTGCGCACAGTCGCCCTAAAAACAGTATCGCTACGTATGCGGACTTGTGCTTTCAAAGTGTGCCTATCGCCTTCGTGCCGACGGATCCAGGACGAAAACACTGCCCTGAGGAAAATATCGGGAGGTCCAGAACCACCCATCTTAAAAACAAGACATCGGAGGTCTGAGCCTCCTGCCTCCCGCCTCCCGACGCCACGCTTCCATCATACCCCCCTCCTGCCCCCTGTCCGCTCCGCACTCCCTCCGCCATACTCTGCCTCCCACCTCCCGCTGCCTCGACGCCTCCCCGCCCCCGTGCCTCCCCCCCCCTCCGCCCCACCCCTCAAAACCCGCTCCCTCACGTGTACCCCACTACTCCATCGGGAACAAGCTGTTCGAGTTGGGAATTCCTCAAGCAAACGGGCCGAGGCAGACCCTGGCACGAGCCCGGGAGCCTCTCGAACGGCGGCCCGCTCGCAGCCTCTGCACGTTGGCCAGCCACCCTGCCCCGTGCATTGGCGGGCCTGCGACTGCCAACGCCCTGGACCGAGGGGCGGCTGCCCTGGCCGGCGCCTCGCGCCAGCGCAGCGCAGCCACGGGCCAGCCGCTCCCCAGCCCGTGGCGGCGGCGCGGAGAAGCGGGCCCGCGAGGCCCGACATGCCCCCCTCCCCCCCCCCACGTGCCTCCCTGCCCCCTGGCGGCGCCTTCGCGCGCAGAGCCTGCGCGCGCACGGCCTCTGCGCCGCGCGCGACGCGCGCGCGGCAGGCCGCGCGCCCGCGGCGTGCGCCGCGGCCGCGCGTGCGGCCCGACGCTGCCGCGCGCCCGCGCGGCATGGGGCTGTCGCGCGGTGACTCGCAGCGCGCCCGCGGCCCCGCCGTCAGCGGCCCCGGCCGGCGCCGCGGCCGCCGTGCACCATGCCGCCGCCCCGCGACAGCCTGCGCGCGCCTGCGGAGGGGGCCATCATGGGACGCACATGGACATACTAATACTATATGTCCTCCTTGGAGGCGCGCGTCCGACCCGAACATATAGTATACCCAATCTTGTAGTATATCGTTTCCCGAGCGGTGTGGCCAGGAAGCGCCCGCCACGACGCACATACCATGAGATTTCTCGGTGCGCGCGTCGCCCCTGGGGGGGCGACGCACATGTAGTATAAGTATGTTTGGGTGTTGCCGAGGACCCAGGCGTCCAAAATCTCGACGGGCAAAACATTAAAAAAACATAATAATGATGCGCCGTAAGGATTCCTGCAAGGGCCTGGGAAGGTCCTATTGACGTTTTTCCGGAGGGGGTTGTCCGGAGAAGGTTGCCAAGGATGGGCCGAAGTGGCAAGGATGCACGGGCAGCCTCAGAAAATTGCTCATCCTTGCTATGCGCGTCCACTGTATCTTCAATGCTTCTTGCTGGAGGTCGTTTCCCGGCGCCAAGACCGTGAAAGAACAGCTCATACGAACGGCCGGCCCTGGGGGTGGCTTTCTGGTTGTTCGCGGATGAACTTGTTACGGGGATTCCCAAAAGGAAATCTTGCGGACGGGACGGCGGCCGCCACAACGATGACGTCGACAGCGACGACGGTAGACGACAACGGCGACGGCGGCGACGACGACGACGACGACGGCGACGATGACGGCGGAGGTGGCGACGACGACGGTCTCCAGAGGTCCCCGTAAAAAGCCTCCAGACACCTCCGAAGCACTATTCAGCAAATGGGCAAAGCGAAACGCTTCCAAAATCGATGGCGGAGGCGACAACGACCAGGACGACAGTAGCGGTGCCGACAGCAACCTTCTGCAACGACAACCACCCCACTGGAAAATCGGCCCGTCGAACGTGGACCTCTCGTGGGGTGCGCGCTGACTGGAATCTCGAGGCGAGTCCAGCCGTGGCCAGGAGGGCGGCCCATGAGGCCCAAAAGGCACATAGACATCGATCTGCAAGCTTCGACCCTCGACCGACGACGACGACGACGACGACGACGACGGCGACGGCGACGGCGACGGCGACGGCGACGGCGACGACGGCGACGGCGACGGCGGCGGCGGCGAGGGCGGCGGCGGCGGCGGCGGCGGGGGCGACAGCGACGGCGGCGGCGATGGGCGACGGGGGCGGCGGCGGCGGGGGGGGGCGGGGGCGGCGGGGGGCGGCGAGGGGCGGCGAGGGGCGGCAGAGGGGCGGCGAAGGGCGGCCGTGCAGAGGACCCGCGTGCGGGGCAAGGAGGTCGAGGAGGAGGAAGGGGAGGAGGAACCCTAAGGACCCCTAAACAAGGAACCCTCAATAAGGAACCCTAAGGAACCCTAAATAAGGAACGAGGCCCCTGTTTCCCGAAAGTTGAACTTCGATTTCCCATGGAAAACCTCAGGGAAACCGAAGGCAAACTGCACAACAACTAAGGAACACCGAGCCCCTCCCCAACGAAAAGGGTTCCTTCTTCGGCGCCCCGACTGTAGAGTCAGAGCTGGTGGCCACAGCAACCCTCGGACAGCACAAGGCTGCCGGAGGGAAGAGGTAGCCTCCCTCGCAATTCGGTGACAAATTCAAATTGCCGCCTACGAGCTTCGCTCACATTGGCCGAAACGTCATAAACGTCAGGGGGAGGTAGAGCCCAGAAGTTGCTCCTAGCACCGAGCACGAGGATCGGCAGGAGGCACGAAGGATGACGAGGAGAAGGAGAGGGGACTGTGGCAGCGTCCGCACCATGCCATCAGCAGCAGCAGCACAGGGAGGATAAACAGAAAGGAGGGGGGAATAGGGGGACCAGAAGGAAACCCTGCGGACGGGACGGCGGCCGCCACAACGATGACGTCGTCGGCGACGACGGTCGACAACAACGGTGGCCGCCGCGAGGACGACGGCGGCGACGACGACGACGACGACGACGACGACGACGACGACGACGATGGCGGCGAAGGTAGCGACGACGACAGTCTCCAGAGGTCCCCGCAAAAAAAGCCTCCAAACATCTCCGAAGCCTTCTTCAGCGAATAGACAAAGGAAAGAAAAGCAGCGGCGGGCGGCGGCCGTGTGGAGGGACCTCCTCCTTCTGCTCCTCCTCCTCCTCCTCCTCCTCCTCCTCCTCCTCCTCCTCCCCCTCCTCCTCCTCCTCGTCCTCCTCCTCCGCCTCCTCCTCCTCCTCGTCCTCCTCCACGGCTTCCGCCTCCGCCCACTTCGTCGCCGACGCCGTGGTCCTCTTCGGGGTCGGCGGCACCGGCCGGCGGGCCTCCGCAATAGACAAAGGAAAGAACAGCAGAGGCGGGCGGCGGCCGTGTGGAGGCACCTGCGGGCGGCACGGCGGCCGCCGCCACGACGCGCGGGCCGCCGCCGCCGGGCGCGGCCGACGGCGGGGAGGGCGCCGGCGGAGGCGGCGCCGGGCCCGGCGGGTCGCCGCCCGCGTCCTGGCCGGGGGGGTCTCCTCCGTGCCTCCCTCGTCCTCCTCCTCGTCCTCCTCCTCCTCCTCCTCCTCCTCCCTTGCTCTCCTCCCTAATACTCCGCCACCTTCTTGTGCTTTCCTCCTCCTCCTCCTCCTCCTCCTCCTCCTCCTCATTATCCTCCCTTCTTCCTCGGCTTCCTCGTCGTCCTCCTCCTCCTCCTCCGCCTTCCTCCTCCTCCCCCGCCTTCCCCTCCTCCTCCTTCTCCTCCTCCTCCGCCTCCTCCTTTCTCCTCATCATGCTTATTGTGACCGAGAGATCCAGGATCCAGGTTCGAGGATCGACGTCTTCGAAGGTTTCTTGAGCCCACCTGACCGCATCCTGCGACCTTCCTTGCCTGCCAGGGGCAGACGTTATCCTGCTGGTAAGTTACCTCAGTAGTGCGGCGACTTCCTCCCCTTTCGGTTTCTGGGGGACGTTGTCGGGCCTGCGGTTCTCACGAATCCATCCTCGTCGTCGTCATCGTTGTCGTCGTCGTCGTCGTCATCATCGTTTTCGTCGTCGTCGTTTTCGTCGTCGTCGTCGTCGAAGATGTAGTGGTGGTGGTCGTCGTCGTCGTGGCCGTGGTCGTCGTCAAGCTCCCGTTCTCTGCCCGCGAGGGAAGGCAACGATGGGCGTCGCGGTTGGGCTCCGAGGGCCGCGGAGAGGACCTGCGGGGACCTTTTTAGTTCCGTCCGCTGGCGGGGCGTCAACGTGTTCGCTGGCTTCCGCAGGCCTTCCGCCACCTTCCGCCGAAGTGAAGGAGCCAACCGATCGATCACTCGAACGCGATGCCCACTGTGGAAGCCCAGCGTAGCCGGCCGCTGACGACCAGTGGTCGGCACGACCAGAAACGATGACCGCGCCCCTGGGCGCCATCCCCTCAGCCCGTCAGGCCACGCACACCACATGCCCAGCAGCCGCCCCTACAGCGACTCCACTCCCTCCCTGATTCCCATAGGTCGCACGCTGTTCGTGACGTTCGAGCTTTGTTTGATGGGATGGCAATAAACGGCTTCAACGTTCGTGACCTTCGGGGCCCCAAGGGGGCCCCTTTGCCCATTTCCTGAAGCCCTCGATGTCCCGCCAGTAATCGCCCTCCACATTGCGAAACGCTACCCGCGGGCCTCCAGGGGATCTCAACACCTCCCCCCCTGGGACCTCAGCCCCCCTCCAAAGGCCGAACACGTCGAAACTCTGGCCGTCGCGACTGTCGTTGCGCGAACCAGGTCGGGGTGGGGAAGGGAGGGTTGGGAAATCTTGAACCCTTCCTAAGGACTGCTGTTTCCTCCAAGAACGTCTTTGATTGTCCCAGGGCCAAGAAGCGGCCACCAGAGGCCAGAACTGTCCAAAAACACCAATGCGGATGTCCTCAAGACGGCACGGTTCCGAAGGCGCGCCTCTACAAAAACATCCGACACAATCCAGCCGCGATCACGAAAAGTCTCTTGGAGTCCCAAAAACAAACGAGAGCGCTCGAAACATATGTTCTCGATCCTGTCCTGCTCTGGGTGGTCCCGGTACGCTTCTAGGCTCTAGGCTCCAGAAGGGTGGAGGTCTGGACTTCTCTTCTGACGGCTGGGGGTCCGCGGCACGCGCGGCGAGGCTTCCCCTCCCTTCGCACCCTCCAGACCACGCGCTCGTGGGAGCGCGGTCCGGGAGGGCAGGAAAGGGTGAGGGGCACAGATACGGGAGGACGAAAACGAGGGGGAGGAGAAGGAGGAGGAAAGGGAAAAGGATATAGAGGAGGAGGAGGAGGGTCTCGCGAGGCGAATTGGGGAGGGGGGGGGGGGCGAAAGCACGAGCAGGAGGAGGGGGAATCACAAGGAGAAAGATGGGTGAGGAGGAGGAGGAGGAGGAGGAGGAGGAGGGGGAGCAGGACGACGACGACGACGGGTTCACACGCGGGAGATGACGAGGTTGAGGAAGACGGGGAATACTCGACATGTCGATCATCACCACGCTTCTGCTCAATCTTATCGCGACCCCATTGCAATGTGCTGGGCGGGCCCGTGAACGCCTGCCCGAACCCGCACTAGCAACTGCCTAACCATTTTATGTCCCTGATGATTATCCCCAAGGATTGAGAAAATATGGGGTGCTGGAGTAGATAGTATTTGTTCCCCGGCAAGTCGCATGTACGGACGTACGGAATACAGATGTACGGCGCACGGAATGCAATAGTCGTGGCAACAATCATATCAATAGCAGCCGTAATAGAAGAAGGCGTAGTAATACTTCAAATTACATAAGTGGTAGTCGCGGGAATAAAAATAAGTAAACACATGACCGAACTATTGGTAATAGAAATAGTAGTTGCCTTCGTCGTAGTAGCAGTGGCAGCAGGAGTAGCACTGGTAGTAGCAGTAGTAGTAATGATAGTAGTAGTACTAATAGTAGGAGTAGTAGTAGTAGTAGTAGTAGTAGTAGTACTACTACTACTAGTAGTAGTAGTAGTAGTAATGGTAATAGTAGTAGTAGTAGTAGTAGTAGTCGTAGTAGTAGTAGTAGTAGTAGTAGTAGTATAGTAGTAGTAGTAGTAGTAGTAGTAGTAGTAGTAGTAGTAGTAGTAGTAGTAGTAGTAGTAGTAGTAGTAGTGGTAGTAACAGTAGTACAATAATCGTAACAGTAGCAGTAGTAGTAGTAGTAGTAGTAGTAGTAGTAGTAATAGTATTGGTAGTAGTAGTAGTAGTAGTAGTAGTAGTAGTCGTAGTAGTAGTGGTAGTGACAGTAGTACAATAATCGTAACAGTAGCAGTAGCAGTAGCAGTAGTAGTAGTAGTAGTAGTAGAAGAAATAGAAGCAGTAGTAGTAGTAGTAGTAGTAGTAGTCGTCGTAGTAGTAAGTCGTCATCGTCGCCGTCGCTGTCGTCGAATCATCGAAATAGTAGTAGTAGTAGTAGTAGTAGTAGTAGTAGTAGTAGTAGTAGTAGTAGTAGTAGTAGCACTACTAGTAATGATAAGACCAGTCGTAGTAGTAGTAGTAGCAGTAGTAGTAGTGATACTAGAAACCGTAGGAGTAAAGGTAGTAACAGTAATAAAAAATAACAGGAATACTGGTAGTCGTAGTAGTACTCGAAACAATAATAAAAGTAGTAGCCGTAGCTGTCATAACAGTACGGTGGCAAAAACAGTGGCAGTAGTAGAAGTCGTAGTCGTATTAATAGTGGTCGTTGCGATAGATCTGGTAGAAGTAAATTAGCAGTAGAAGTAGTGGTAGTAGTAGTTGTAGTCGTAGTCGTAGTCGTACTCGTAGACGTAGTAGCCGTAGTGATATAGGAGTAGACATCACAGTGTTGTTCAAAGCTAGTAGTAGTAATAATAGCAATCGTGGTGGTAGTAGCGATAGTAGTAGTAATCGTAGCGGTAGTGGCAGTAGTCGTAGAAATAACACTAGTAGTGTATCGTGGTCGTGGTAGTAGCAGTAGCAGTAGTGCTAGTAACACGTGTAGTAGTAACAGTGGCAGAAGTAGTACTAATCGAAGTAGTAGTAGTAGTGGTAGTAGTAGTAGTAGTAGTAGTAGTAGTAGTAGTAGTAGTAGTAGCTGTAATAGTAGTAGTAGTAGTAGTAGTAGTAGTAGTAGTAGTAGTACTAGTAGTAGTAGCACTGGTCGTAGCTGTACTGGCCGTAGCCGTACTAGTAGTAGTAGTAGTAGTAGTAACGATAGAAGCAATAACAATGGAAGCCGTTCAAGTAGCAATGTCAACAATAGTAGTCGGAATAAGAATGCTAGCCGCAGTCGTGGTCGTAGTCGTAGTAACAGTACTAGCAATCGCGATCGCACTGGTAATGCCCAACGTAACAGAAATAGCACGAGCAGTCGTAACAACTGTAGCGGTAATAATAACACGAGCAAAAAATGGTAGGGGTAATCAAAAACCTGCTTAGATTAGCTGTAAAATTGTCCGGGATACAGCATGTAGTAGAAATAACCGTAGTTGCCGTAAAACTACGAGCTGCTGCTCTGCAAAATCAAAATGGTAGCAAGAGAAGGAGCACAATGCTTTGGTAGCCGTACCAGTAGTGGAAGTTGCAATGGTAGTCATAGTAGTAGTCGTAGTAGTGGGGGTAGAAGCACAAGTAGCAGTAGCACTCGATGATGCAGTAGTCGTAGCCGTACTAGTTGTAGCCACAGTGATAGAATGATAATAACAAGGGATTGAAATCGCCGAACTAGTAGCTATAGTGATAGTAGTAGTCGTAGTAACAGTAACAAAAAAAATAGAAATACTCGCAATAATAATACAAATGAGAACAGTAGTCGTAGAAGTAGTGGTAGTAGTAGTAGTAGTAACAATACTACCAGTACTAGTAATAAAAGAGTAGTAGTAGCAGCAACAATAGTAATGGTAGCCGTGGTGTTCATGCTAGAAGTGGTAGTAGTGAAACTTATATAGAACTACAGATATCAAGAGTAGTAGTACAAGTAGTAGGTGCAGTAGTGGGGATAGTAGTAGCCGTTGTACACATAGTAACACTAGGGGTCGTAGCAGTAGTCGTAGTAGTCGTAGTAGAAGTAGATATAACAGAAGACTTAAAGCTCTTGGTCGTCGTCGCGGTCGTAGCACTAACCGTCGTTGTCGTAGTCGTAGTCGCATTCGCAGTCGCAGCCGTAGTCGGAACAATACTAGTACTAGCAGTTACGGCGGCAGTACTAATAGTAGCCTGAGTGGTAGTGGTAGTGGTAGTGGTAGTAGTGGTAGTAGTAATAATAATAGTTCTGGTGGTAATGGTACTGGTAGTCGTAGTAGTACTTGTAAGAATCCAAGAAAATAGTGGTAGCAGTCGTAGTAGTGGTAGTAATAGTGGTGATGCAAGCAGCAGTCGTAGTAGTGGTAGTAGTAGTAGTACTAGTAGTAGTAGCAGTAATAGTAGTAGTGAAACTAGTAGAAATAGTCGTAGTAGTAGTAGTAGTAGTAGTAGTAGTAGTAGTCGTAGTAGTAGTAGTAGTAGTAGTAGTCGTCGTCGTGGTAAAAATAGTAGTGGCAGTAATGGTAGTAGGTCTAGTAGTAGTAGTAGTAGTGGTACTAGTAGTAGTAGTAGCAGTAGTCGTAGTAGTAGGAGTAATAGTAGTAGTAGAAGTAGAAGTAGAAGTGTAGTAGTAGTAGTAGTAGTAGTAGTAGTAGTGGTAGTCGTCGTCGTCGTCGTCGTAGAAATAGAAGTAAGGAGTGATCGTACTAGTACTAGTAGTCGTAGTAGTCGTAGTAGTGGTAGAAGTAGTAGTAGTAGTCGTAGTCGTAGTAGTAGTAGTAGTAGTAGTAGTAGTAGTAGTAGTAGTAGTATAGTAGTAGTAGTAGTAGTAGTAGTAGGAGTAGCAGTAGCAGTAGCAGTAGTAGCAGTCAGCAGCAGCAGTAGTAGTAGTAGTAGTAGTAGTAGTAGTAGTAGTAGTAGTAGTAGTAGTAGTAGTAGTAGTAGTAGTAGTAGTAGTAGTAGTAGTAGTAGTAGTAGTAGTAGTAGTAGTAGTAGTAGTAGTAGTAGTAGTAGTAGTAGTAGTAGTAGTAGTAGTAGTAGTAGTAGTAGTAGTAGTAGTAGTAGTAGTAGTAGTAGTAGTAGTAGTAGTAGTAGTAGTAGTAGTAGTAGTAGTAGTAGTAGTAGTAGTTGTAGTAGTAGTAGTAGTAAGAAGAAGAAGAAGAAGAAACATATTTGTCATACGAATTCGCCGTCCCAGCGGGTCAGAAGCATGCCAAAAACTCCAGCAATTGCTTTACAAATTTCAAATTCGCCCGCGTGGGGCGGCCCGTGGGGGCCCCCGAACGAAAAATACCCGGGCAAGTCCCGGCCAGGTGAGGCCCGGAGATGGTGGTCCTCCTCGGCGCTGCCTTCCAAGCTGTCCCGAGCGCCCCAGGAACGCTCCAAGAGAGCAACGTGACGTGTTCGAGACGGTCCGAGGGCCCCTCGGTCGCCGCCAGACTGCCCAAGACGCCGCCAATAAGCCCCAGGAGAGCCTCAAGAGGGTCTCCTGGATAGCCTCAACACGCAACAAGTGTTTCATTCCTTTCAGAAAACGCACATGTTGCGCATAAGCGACGTTTCGAAGTCCAGCGCGTCCAACACTGCCCAAGAGACCTTCAAGGTCGCCCAAAGACGGCCCAACACTCCCAAGATGAGCCCAACACGGCCCAACTGGGCCCCTAAAGCGGCCCACGAGGCCCCGTGGACAGCCAACCCTACGAGGGGCCCCACCGGGGGAGCTCGAATTGAACCTTCCAGCTCGCCGACCCGCGCGATCGCCCCAAGACCCCCAAGATGGCCTCCAGACCGCCCCAAAACGCCGCTAAGAAACCCCATGAGAGTCTCAAGAGGCTCTCCTTGACAGCCTCAGAAAGCAACAAATGTCCCATTCCCTTCAGAAAGCGAACATTTTGCGCACTAGCGACGTTTCGAGGTCCCGCGCGTCCAACACTGCCCAAGAGACCTTCGCAATCGCCCCAAAACGGCCCGACAGACCCCCATGGGCCCAGCACGGCCCAAGAGGGCCCCATGACGGCTCACGAGGCCCTTTGGGCAGCCCAAGACAACCCTTAGAGGGGCCCCGTCGGGGGAACTCGAATTGGATCGCCTCAAAACGCCCCAAATGGCACCCAAACGCCCCAAAACGCCGCCAAGGAGCCCCAGGAGAGCCTCAAGAGGCTCTCCGAAGCCAGGGTGGTTTGGGCACCCCCCGGACGCACAGGCCGTATCAAAGTGATACGCGAGACGGCTAAAATCGTCCGACCTGTTGGCAATGTTGGTGTTTCACATCTGATATGTTGGCGGTCTGTCTATAGATATAAGCCTGTACCGTTATACATATACGTACACGCATACGCATACTATACATATGCAAATACGACTCTAGACCCAGACGCATACACATGCACATATGCACTAAGACGCACGAGTGTACATAATAGCACATCCAACCCTGGTGCACAACGAAGAGCAACCAGATATGCATGCGCCCATACAAGCAGACATAAACGTATATATATATATATAGGTGCGAAGAGCAGTTTCGGCGTCATCGCTTGCGTTGATTGGTTTTGGGAACTATGCCGGCGAGCATCTGCACGCACAAGAACCGCGACCAGCCTCTACAAATGGCAGCGCGCGCACCCGCCCTCCCTATAATAATGTGGATACCTCCGCTTGAGACGCACGGGTCGTGCTCAGCAGGCTTCTTATGCATCTTGCTAGAAACTGCCGCCTGGGGCCCCAGGTGGTCAGCGTCGCCAGCAAACAACATGGAGTTGTCCTTGGCGACGAAGCACAAGACGAACAAGCGGTGGCGGTACGGCGACATCTCGCTGAAGATCCGCGAGTAGCCACGAAACCAAGAGAAACACTGCTCTGCCACCTGAGGATCATTCCCTCATGCAATAAGAAATGACCACTACCACCAGGACGGGCGGACACCCACTCCCTCCTTATTTCATAGGGGGGTGATACGCAGGTGGCAGAGCAATGTTTCTCCTGCCTTCGTGGCTACTCGCAGATCTTCAACGAGAAGTCGTTGAGCCGTCACCGCTTCTTCGTCCTGCGCTTCGTCGCCAAGCACAACTCCATGTTGCCTGCTGGCGACACTGACCACCTGGGGCCTGCTTTGTGTGCTGTAGATGTGATATTTGCTTGACCGGGGGAATTACCAATGCGATGATTGCACCGGAACCGCTCGACAATCATCTTGATATTTACGTGGGGGAGGACATCAGCGGGAGCACCCTGAGCACATACGACGACCACCTCCTCCAGCACGTCTATCCGCCCGCCAACCCCGCTTGCGTCACTGAGCTAGTTTGCGACGGCCACGAGAAGGTGTTGGTGCGCTGCGAAAGAGGCCGTGGCCAGTCCAGAGGGAGAGTGCTGAAGAGGCAGTCGACGCCGTCCTGCTGTGTATGAGACGAATGATTTTTTTGTTGCGCAGCCATACACATTGATTCCTAGTGTGCGGCCTTCAAATAAAATTCCTTTGTGCCTGGCTACGGAAAGGGGGGGGCTCGGTCGACGAAAAAAAAACAACAAAGCAACAAAGCAAAAAAAAGGGTACCAACAACGCTGCGTTTCAAGTGCAAGTTGGTTTTCACTCGAAAACCCAAAACGAACAAAAAAACTGGAAGTCCTCCAGGCCGGCGAGAGTAGCAATGTTTTTTGTTGCGCCCCCCGACCCACACGAAGTTGGGACACTGCCAGGGCGTGACCGTCACTGTCTTCAAAGTGTGGAGGTCATGGACGACGGCCTCGTGAGTCGCATCGCCTTTCTTGCAGAGCCTGCCGCCGCATACGCAGAACTCCAGGTGCGTCTCGGTGCGGCCTTCACATAAAATCCCGTTGCGGGGATCTACAACTGTATTCTTCTTGTGTACATTCTAATGGAAATCCTACTGTGCAGGTTTATGAACAAATTCCTATTGTGCGGCCTTCACATAAAAATCCTTTGTGCCTGGCTGCCCAATGAAAAAGGCAACGAAAAACAAAAAACGGCAAATCGGGGGGCCAAAGACGCTGCGTTTCTAATTGCAATAGTGTTTCCAATTCAATGCCTAAAAAAGCAAAACAGACAACCTGGAAGTAAAGAAAACCTGTGTTAATGCAGCGTTTGCACATTTACAATCTGTTTTCTAGTGTGCGGCCTGCAAATTAAACATCTCTTTTGTGTAGACAAACAAGTTGACCCCCTGAGCCAGGCAGAAAGGGACTTTATGTGAAGACCACACAATAGGAATCAATGTGGACATGCGCAACCACGGTAAAACAAGCATGGTGTCTGTGCTTCCAGGTTGCCATGGTTGCCTGTTCTGGGTTTCCGCTTGATAACCACTTTAAGCTTAAAAACACAGCATTGCTGGTACTCCAAAGTGCCTTGTTTGCCTGTTTTTTTTTTTGCCTTTTTCGTCGGCCGAGTTCCCCCCCCGTCCTGAGCCAGGCACAGAGAAACTTTATCTGAAGGCCGCACAACAGGAATCAATGTGCAAACCTGCGCAATAGGATGTCCATCATATCGTACACAATAGGAATCAATGTGCAAATCCCCACAAAAGGTGTTGATATGAATGCCACACAATAGGCATCAATTTGGAAATGTGCAAGCACTGTGAGAACACAATTTGTCGCTGCTTCCAGGTAGCCTTTATTTGTACGTGTTCGGTTTCACGTGTTGTTGGCCCCTCAAATTGCATTGTTAACCTTGTTTGCCTTTTTCGTCGGCCGGGCACCCCCGCCTTTCGTAGTCAGCCACAAAGGAATTGTGTTTGAAGGCCGCGCAATAGGAATCAATGTGTATGGCTGCACAAAAAAACGTGCGCCTCCTACACAGTAGGACGGCGTCGACGAACAGAAGGGTTCCAAACAACATCTTGAATTTGTTCCCCCCGAGGGGACTCCCAGAACACCCCGTGCCTCAAAAAGCAAAAAGTGACCCATTTCCTTCAGAAATAATACAGTTTGCCCATATACGACATTTCGATGTCCAGCGCGTCCAACACTGCCCAAAAGACCTTCAAGAACGCCCCAAGACGGCCCAACAGACTCCCAAGATGGGCCCAACACGGCCCAAGAGGGCCCCAAAACGGCCCACGAGGCCCTTTGGACAGCCCAAGACAGCCCTAAGAGGGGCCCCGTCGGGGGAACTCGAATTGAACTTCCTAGCTTGCCGAACCGCAAGATCGTCCCAAGACGCCCAAGATGGCCCCCAGACGGCCCATGACGCCGCCAAAAAGCCCCACAAGAGCCTCAAGAGGCCCTCCTAGAGAGCCTCGAATACCTAGAACCACGAAACGGATCGGAATGGACCCTGCCAGGCGCCTCTCTCCCTGCAGGACCCGCCCGATCCCTTTTCGGCGCGGGAGGCGGAGAAGGCGGGAGGAGGAGGAGTAGGGAGGAGGAGAAGAGGGGGGGAGAACGAGGAGGAAGGAGGACAAGGAGGATGAAGAACGACGGGGGAGGAGGAGCATGCGGAGGAGGAGGAAGGATGAGGGAAAGGGAGGAGGAGGAGGAGGAGAAGAAGGATCGAGATCGCATCGATATGGATCGAAGTGGACCCTGCCATGTACCCGCCCTGCAGGACCCGCCCACTCCCCACCCCGCCCTCCTCCGCCTCCTCAGCCCTCCTCCTCCGCCCTCTCGGCGGCGCGCACAAGGGGGCAGGGGGAGGGGGGAAGGCCTCTTAGAAGGAGGCTACTTCTAGAAGGCGCTGGCCTTACATCTACAGACAAGGCCCGCACCTTCCAAGAAGAGGACGAGGAGATCATCGGGTGAGGATGCGTCGAGAGCCTCTGAGATCCCGCGACTCTGGAGGATGTCTTGGGCGCCGCGGCCTTCGCAGAAGACCCAGGACGCTTTGAGGGCGTTCCGGAACGCTCTGGAACGGATGCATCCTCGTCCTAACTCCGTCGGGCCGTGGCCTCGCGCGGCAGAACAACCTGCCCACTCTCTGTAAGCTGAGCTGCTTCTCGACCTGTCCAGTCTTGCCCTGTCACTGCCAAACGCAACTTCGCGTTTGGGTACCTTTCGGGCTCCAGGAGCCCTCGCCGGGCCCAGGGCCCCTCCATAAACAGCTCCGGACGAAGAGCCGATCCCGGGGGAAGGGTCCAAACCTCTGGGGGTCACGTCATGAAGCAACGTAAGGCTCGGAAGTGTCGGGTGCACCGAAGAGGGGTGCCACGAAGGAGGGGTCAAAGCGCATCGTGGCCCTCGAAGCATGTGAACGGACTAGGGGCGGGCAAGGAGCGCGCGGAGATGAAACATAAGAAGGAGGTAACACATAACACCATTTTAATTCGCGCGCGCGTGGCGGACCCTGAGGGTCACGGAGAGAAAAGTACCTCGGGCAACTCCTGGCAAGTTCCCGTAAAGGATGCCGGATCTCTTGAGCGCGGGCCTGGGAGCCTCTGGAGCCGTCCAGGAGTGGCCCAATGAGCCCACAAATAAGTAGCATGCCCTACGGCCAGACGCCAACAGCGCCCCATAGCGGCCCAAAATGGTCTCACGATGGCCCTCGATGCCCCCAACACGCTCCTCGAGGCTTCTAAGACGCGTCCCAGAAGCGGAAATCATTGATTTTCACCCGGCTGTTGGAGGTTTTCAGCCTTCTCGGCTTTTCGGCTTTCCCACACTCGAAGGAAGCCCAAGAAGCCTCCAGGACCGCCCCAGCACAGCCCCACGATGACCCAAGACGGCTCCCGAGATGGCCCAAGAGGCGGCCACACGGGCCCAAGAACGCCCCGAAACGGCCCCAAGAGGGGCCGAAGGGCCCCCACCATCGCCTCAGACCACCCAAAATGGCCTCAAGACGGCCCAATCGACCGCCAAGACGGCCTAAGAGGCTTCATCTCCTCCTGCTCCTCATCCTCCTCTTCCTCCTCCTCCTCCTCCCCCCTCCTCCTCCTCATCTTCCTCCTCATCCTCCCTTCTTCTCCTCCTCCTCCTCCTCCTCCTCCTCCTCCTCCTCCTCACTCTCCTCCCGTCCTCCTCATCCTCTTCCTCCTCCTCCTCCTCCTCCTCCTCCTCCTCCTCCTCCTCCTCCTCCTCCTCCTCCTCCTCCTCTTGCTGCGGTCGCACTCACAAGCCGCCACCCTCCAAAACGGAAAGGCTCAATTTTGCGACGAATGCCTCCGGTCTGCGAAATGTCCCCACAACGACCATCCAGAATCATCAACCCCTCACCGACACAAGCAAATCATCGACCAGACCCGTGATCACCCACGATTGCCTACGGACAACCCCGCCAGAATCTGCGACGAACGTCCGAAACCAAATCCACAGTCACTGCGAACCCCTCAGGAATACACCCCCAAATCGACAGAGGTGCGACAATAAGGGGCGGCGGAATGAGCGAGGCGATTAAATGATCGTAGAAATAAAAAAAAAGTAGTTGTAGTGGTAGTCTTAGTAATAATAGGATTGACCGCAGTAGTCGTAATAGTAGTAGTAGTAGTAGTAGTAGTAGTAGTAGTAGTAGTAGTAGTAGTAGTAGTAGTAGTACTAGTAGTAGTAGTAGTAGTAGTAGTAGTAGTCGTAGTCGTCGTCGTCGTAATCATTTTTGCTGTTGCTGTTCCAGTCGTAGTGGCTGTTGCTGTTAGAGCAGTAGTCGTAGTAGTAGTAGTAGTAGTCGTCGTCGTCGTCGTCGTCGTCGTCGTCGTCGTCGTCGTCGTCGTCGTCGTCGTCGTCGTCGTCGTCGTCGTAGTAGTAGTAGTAGTAGTAGTAGTAGTAGTAGTAGTAGTAGTAGTAGTAGTAGTAGTAGTAGTAGTAGTCGTGTAGTAGTAGTAGTAGTAGTAGTAGTCGTAGTAGTAGTAGTAGTAGTAGTCGTCGTAGTCGTAGTCGTCGTAGTCGTAGCGTAGTCGTAGTAGTAGTAGAGTAGTAGTAGTAGTAGTAGTAAGTAGTTAGTAGTCGTAGTAGTAGTAGTCGTAGTAGTAGTAGTAGTAGTAGTAGTAGTAGTAGTAGTAGTAGTAGTAGTAGTGGTCGTAGTAGTAGCCGTAGTAGCCGTGGTAGTAGTAGTAGTAGTAGTAGTAGTAGTAGTAGTAGTAGTAGTAGTAGTAGTAGTAGTAGTAGTAGTAGTAGTAGTAGTAGTAGTAGTAGTAGTAGTAGTAGTAGTAGTAGTAGTAGTAGTAGTAGTAGTAGTAGTAGTAGTAGTAGTAGTAGTAGTAGTAGTAGTAGTAGTAGTAGTAGTAGTAGTAGTAGTAGTAGTAGTAGTAGTAGTAGTAGTAGTAGTAGTAGTAGTAGTAGTAGTAGTAGTAGTAGTAGTAGTAGTAGTAGTAGTAGTAGTAGTGTAGTAGTAGTAGTAGTAGTAGTAGGTAGTAGTAGTAGTAGTCGAGTAGTAGTAGTAGTAGTAGTAGTAGTAGTAGTAGTAGTAGTAGTAGTAGTAGTAGTAGTAGTAGTAGTAGTAGTAGTAGTAGTAGTAGTGGTAGTAGTAGTTAGTAGTTCGTAGTAGTAGTAGTAGTAGTAGTAGTAGTAGTAGTAGTAGTAGTAGTAGTAGTAGTAGTAGTAGTAGTAGTAGTAGTAGTAGTAGTAGTAGTAGTAGTAGTAGTAGTAGTAGTAGTAGTAGTAGTAGTAGTAGTAGTAGTAGTAGTAGTAGTAGTAGTAGTAGTAGTAGTAGTAGTAGTAGTAGTAGTAGTAGTAGTAGTAGTAGTAGTAGTAGTAGTAGTAGTAGTAGTAGTAGAAGTAGTAGTTGTAGTAAAATGCGCTACTCAACATGGAAGGATCGCAATCTCGATTCGTACGTTCCCTGGAAGTCATGAGCTTTGGACTTGCCGCCCCTTTCCCCCGAGGAACTCTGTCTTGGCCCGGGATCATCGACTCCCAGGTGGTCAATGGGGGGGGGGCTAAATTATCTGGGGCACGGAGTCATGCAAGCCTAAAGCCGAAAGGGGGATGAGGTCGGTGACGGATAGGAACGATGAAACACAAGCAAAAGGAGGAGGTCCTCTTCTCTGGTTACGGCGGCGACACAGATGGGAGAGGACGAGGACGAGGAAAAGAACGAGCAGGAGGCAGCCGGGCGGGGAAACAGGGGCAGCGAGGAATCGAAAGGGGGAAGGAGGAGGTCGGGAGAAGGGGAAGGGGTGAAGAGGAGGAGTCACGAGGAACACGAGGATCAGGAGGAGGAAGAGGAGGAGGAGGAGCAGAAGGAGGAGGAGGAAAAGGAGGAGGTCATCCCCCCTCTTTTCTGTTCGGGGGCGGAGGGTTGGCCCGGCTCCTCCTGCCGCTCCAGGGCCTCGCTGGCCGCTGCCTCCGCCGACGCCAGCTGCTCCGCGGCGCGCCGCGTCTCCGGGTGGGCGAAGCCGTGGGCCCGCTGGCGCGCCCGCACGGCCTGGAGAGGGGGGGGGAGAAGGGCGGGAGAAGGGCTGGGGATGCAAGGGCGTATCGAAGACCTCCTCCTACTCCTCCTCCGTCCTCTCCTCCGTCCTCCCGACCCCTCTGTCTCTTGTCCGAGAACCGGCATTCTCTGACGAATGAGCGTTCGTCTGGCTCCGACATCCTGACCCTGGGGGTCCTTTCTCATATGGACCTTGTAGATGGATGGGTCCTTAGAGAATAGCTGGAATGTGCCTTAGCTGGAATAGCGATGTCGTCCGACATAGCTGGAATGTGCCTTCGAGAAGATGCTAGAGTGGATAGTGACACGCGCGCGCTAAGAGAGACGACGACGACACCGACGACGGCGACGGCGACGACGACGACGGCGACGTCGACAACAGCGACGTCGACGACGGCGGCGTCGACGACGGCGGCGCCGGCGAAGACGACGGACGACGACCGACGGACGGAACGATAACGTGCGATGGGCGTCGACGATGGAGGACGAGGACGACGACAAACCGACGGACAACGAGAAGTGGAGGATGGGGAGGATGAGGGTGAAGTAGATGGAGACACACGGACTGCCCTCCTGCGCTTGCCACCAGAGGAGGCGAGGAGGAGTAATCATCATCACCTTCTCACCGTCGTCGTGAGGTCGTCGTCAGCATCATTATCGTGGTTATGAGAATCCTCGTCCTCATCCTCATCATCATTACCACTACCACAATCATCCTCACTCTCATCCTCATACTCACCCTCAGCGTCTTTACCTTTTCGACAGCTCTTCCCCGACTGGCCACCAGACGTGTCGGTAGGGCTGGACAGGCGTTTCGCCGGGGACTTCTCCCTGGTCATGACCCCAGAGTTCGGAATCACAACAGCCCCCTGGGTGCAGGTGGCATATCAGTCCCTGCGTTCCCTCTTCCCGAAAACCTTCCGCACCCTCCCGCACCCGACTGGCCGCCGACTCGAAACCATGCCGCCCCATGAGACCAAATTCGCCTGACGAAGTATCCAACCAGATGCAGCTGCGAGTACCGCTAGACAGGTGGAAAGTAAGGGAGCGTGCTGGCGAAAGGACTGAGGCGCGCGTGAGGAAGACGGAGCGACGTTGCTGATGGGGTCACAGTGGTCAGCCGCAATGGACTTCATCTAGATGAAACCCGTCACGGCAGATCTGAGCGTCTGTCGGCCTGGCCCTCGGAATCAGCAGGGCGCGGCCTTAGGAGCACCAGGTGGCGGGGCCTTTGGTGGAGCTACTCTGGGGCCACGAGGCGTGCGAGGGGTGTGCCACAATGGGCGCGGTCCCGCATGCGATTCCCGCCACTGAGGCCTTCGGCTGAGCCCCCTTATGGGGCCATTAAGCGTGCGAGGGATGTGCCGAAATGGGTACTGTCACGCATGTGATTCCTGCCAATGGGGCCTTAGGTGGAGCTCCCTATGGGCCACGTGAAGGGTGTGCCGACATGGGCGCGGTCACGCATGCGATTCCTGCCACTGGGGCCTTCGGTGGAGCTCCTTGGGGGGCCGCGAGACGAACGTGTCAGGTGTGTACCGAAATGGTCTGGAAAAGGCATGCGAGCGCAGCCCCTGGGGCCATGGGCGGGGCTCCCTACAGGGCCACGAAGCGTGTGAGTGGTGCGCCGAAATTGGCACGGTCGCGCATGCGATTCCTGTCAATGAGGCCTTAGGTAGGGCATTTCAATGGGGCCACGTGCGAAGGGCGTGCGAAATTGGGGCGGCCACGCATGCGATTCCCGCCACTGGGGCTCCAAGTGGAGCTCTATATTTGGGCCGCGAATCGTGTGAGGGATGCGCCGGAATGGTCTGCAGAAGGCATGCGAACGCAGCTACCAGGGCCGAAGGTGGAGCTCCCTATGGGGCCACGAGGCGCGTGAGGGGTGCGCCAACGTGTGGTGAGGGCCTGCAGGTGGAGCCTCTGGGGCCTCAGGTGGAGCTCCCTGTGGGGCCACAAAGCGCATGAGGAGTATGCCAAAGTGGGGTGGTGGCGCCATGCGGGCCCAACAGCTGAGGCCTGAGGTGGAGCTCCCTGTGGGGACACGAAACGTGTAAGGGTTGCGCCAGAGTGGATTGGCGGCGGCATGCGTGCGAACAATCAGGCCCTTAGGTGGAGCTCCCTATGGGGCCACGAAACGTATGATGAGTGCGCCAAAGTGGGGTGGCGGCGGCATGCGGGCGCAACTGGGCCCTCAGGTGGAGCTCCCTACGGGGCCACGAAGCGTGTGAGGGGTGCGCCAATGTGGGGTGGCGGCGGCATGCAGGCGCAACCACTGGGGCCTTAGGCGGAGATCCCCATGAAGCCACGAAACAAGTGAGTGGTGCGCCAGAATGGGGTAGCGGTGGCATGCGGGCGCAGCCACTGGGACTTTAGGTGGAGCTCCCTATGTGGCCATGAAGCGTTCAAGTAAGGGGTGTGCCGAAGTGGGCATGCGGAGGGCAGAGGCAGGGATGGGAGGAGGAGGAAGAGGACGAGGACGAGGAAAGAGAAGAGGAGAAGGAGGAGGAGAAGGAGGACGTACGGCGCTGCTGATTTTCAACGAGGACCCAACTCAACACAGGATACTTTTGAAACATAGGTCTGGCGAAGGACCCAACCATATCCAGCTGTGAGCACCGCAGTCGTGAGTATCATCTTCTGAGGAGATCCGTATGGAGGCACGAAGCGTGTGAGTAGTGTACCGAAAACGGTGTGGCGGACGCATGTGGACGGTGCCACTGAGGCCGTCGGTGGAGCTCCCTATGGGGACACGAAGCGTGTGAGGCGTGTGCCGAAATGGGTGCGGCGGACGATTTGGACGGTGGCACTGGGGCCCTGGTTGGAGCTCCCTGTGGGGCCACGGAACGTGCGAGCGGTGTGCCGAAATGGGTGTGGCTAACGCATGTGGGCGGTGCCACTGCGGCCTCGGGTGGAGACCCCTGCGGGGTCATGACACGTGTGAGCGGTGTACCAAAAGAAGTGTGGCGGATGCATTTGAACGGTGCCACTGGGGCCTTCAGTGGAGCTCCCTGCGGGCCACGAAACGTGTGAGGGGTGTGCCGAAATGGGCGTGGCCGAGGCATGTGGACGATGCCACTGGGGCCTTCGGTGGAGCTCCCTATGGGAGCACGAAGCGTGTGTGGGGTGTAATGGAATGGGTGCGGCGGACGCATGTGGGCGGCTGTCCCTGTGGGGCCACGAAACGTGTAAGGGGAGTCCCGAAATGGGCGGTGCTAACGCATGTGGACGGTGCCACTGGAGCCTTCGGTGGAGCTCCCTATGGGGCCAAGAAGCGTGTGAGGGGTGTGCTGACATGGATGTGGCGGACGCATGTGGACGGTGCTACTGGGGCCTTCAGTGGAGCTCCCTATGGGGCCACGAAACGTGTGAGGGTTGTGCTGAAATTTGTGTGGCGAACGCATCGCGGTGGTGCTATAGGGCCTTGGGTGGAGCTCCCTATAGGGGCCACGAAACGTGTGAGGGGTGTGCTGACATGTGTGTGGCGGACGCATGTGGGCGGTGCTACTCGGGCCTTCGGTCAACGTGTGAGGGGTGTGCGGAAATAGGTGTGGCGGAAGGGTGGAGCTCCCTATGGGGGCACGAAGCGTGTGAACGGTGTGCCGAAATGGTGTGGAGGACGCATGTAGACGGTGCCACTGGGGCCCTGGGTGGAGCTCCCTATGGGGCCACGGAGCGTCTGAGGGGTGTGCCGGAATGGGTGTAGCAGACGCATGTGGACGGTGCCACTGAAGCCTTCGGTGAAACTCCCTGTGGGGCCACGAAACATGTGAGGGGTGTGCTGACATGGGTGTGGCGGACGCATGTGGACGGTGCTACTGGGGCCTTCAGTGGAGCTCCCTGTGGGGCCACGAAACGTGTGAGGGGTGTGCTGACATGGGTGTGGCAGACGCACGTGCGCGGTGTCGCTGAGGCCTTCGGTGGAGCTCCCTATGGTGGCGCGAAACGTGTGAAGGGTGCGCTGACATGGGTGTGGCGGACGCATGTGGACTGTGGCACTGGGTCCTTCGCTGAAGCTCCCTACGAAACATGTCAGGGGCGTGCCGAAATGGCAGTGGCGGACGCATTTGGACGATGGCGTTGGGGCCTGACCATTGCGGGACACCCCTCACACGCTTAGTGGCCAGGCCCCAACGCCATCGTCCAAATGCGTCCGCCACTGCCATTTCGGCACGCCCCTGACATGTTTCGTAGGGAGCTTCAGCGAAGGACCCAGTGCCACAGTCCACATGCGTCCGCCACACCCATGTCAGCGCACCCTTCACACGTTTCGCACCACCATAGGGAGCTCCACCGAGGGGCCTGGCCATTAAGCGTGTGAGGGGTGTCCCGCAATGGGCGTGGCCGACGCATGTGGACGGTGCCACTGGGGCCTTGGGTGGAGCTCCCTATGGAGGCATGCAACGTGTGAGGGGTGCCCCGAAATAAATGTGGCGGATGCAGTTGGACGGGGGCTGATGGGAGGAGGGAAGAGGGAACGGAGGAGGAGAGGAGAAACGCGGGGCGCTGTCTCTTCAAAACGAGAACCCAACACCACATAATGGCTAGGGACAAACCATGTTTTGCGCTAAACTGTGATCATGTTCGGGCGGCCCGCGCTCACTTTGCATACTGCTTGAAAGAAACAACAGGGGTGTTAGCAGCTTGCCCCACGTTTACAGGCCCACCATCCCTGGAAAACAAACGACAAGAAAGTTGGGATCCCCAGGGGCCGACGTCGCGAAGCAACAAATTCAACGTCGGGGGAGAAGGCTATAGGCGATACGGGGCCACACACGACACGTTGCCACTCGTAGAACATCGGGCGCCGCGTGTTGTTGGGAGACTCGCCGCTCTGTCGGGCGGTCGGCACAATACAGCATCAGGGGCGCAGCCACGCAGCACAGGCCCTACCTGCAGCAGCGGGGTGGACAGCGTGGTCCGAAAGGTGCGCCCGCTGGCGAATTCAAACCCTCGGTTGCTGCCCGTTCGCGCGCCGACCAGCCGCGGCTGCG